GCAGGCGGGAATCGAACTCATGCGGAAGTGGCTTAAGCTTCTTAGTGCTGTGCTTTAATCCGCAGCGCCACCAGGGAGGGCCCTGATTTGCTTTTTGATGTAGAGTTTAGATTTTAGATTTAGGATAAACTCTGGTGATAGTTGGGAGAAATAGTAAAGGTTATTTAGCTGTAGTCAGTAGTGGATATGCTGCTTTTTAATGAACTGTCTACCCTCAGGAACGCCTGGATGAAGCAAATGTTGCCTTGGATTCAGCATCAAGACTTACAGAACAGTTAGATCTAAAGGAAGAACAAATTGAAGAACTCAAAAAGCAAAGTAGGTTTATTTCCTTTTCCTTTTCCCCTTGGAGTTGATTCAGATGTAGTTGAATCAGGTTGCACTCATGCTTTGGTGCAGTTAAGGGAGACCAACTTCCATTGGTGTGTGACTTCCATTTCCATCTTCTGTGACCAGCTTGCTTCAATTTGATTATTTTAGCGAAACCAGTAGTCCTGGTGAAAAGGAGTGGTGAACTGGGCCTGGCTGCCAAGTTAGCTTGCCTGCAGATCAAAGCAGTCCGTTGTGTTGATTTTGCCCTGCCCGCCAAAAGGGGTTTTTGAGTGTCTGGCTATTTGATTTGACTAGCTTGGCATTTTTATGATTATGACTTCTTCCTGATCAATTCATGCTCATTCTACCTGTTTCATCTAAGGGTTTGGGAGAGCGGTATTTTACATGGGGTGAATGTCTGGGTATAACTGGCTTTTCATGATTGTGCATGGTACTCATCATGTATTTTTGATGCTTCTAAAGTATCTCATTAATCCGGTCAATTCCCCAAGGTGAGCCATGCACTTGTAACTAGGTAATCAGGTATTTCATAGAATTTTGTTGAGTCTTAGCAGCTGGCAAAGATGGCATGTGCTCATATAATCTCTGAGTTAAGGGTTTGTAGAAAATTGAATACTAGGGCTTTATTTAGTTGGTAATGATGTAAGATTATTGAAAGGGACTTAGTGGAGCCTAGAAATATATCAGCTTTTAGGTGTCTGGGTTAGGCACAGAAGTACCAAGGTACATAGTAAAGGAATTAAGAAATACCACCTAACATAAAACAGAAATTAGAAATAGATAAAAATCCACAGGATGTGCCTCAGCAGAAATACTGTCAAACAGTGTGGTGGCCGGCATGTAAGGACCGCTGAAAACTTGGATACCAAAGGGCAAGTCAGAGTCAGCCAACCTGAATCCAGTACAAGACAGAAGATGAATTTTAGGGATCCAAAAGACAAGATAGACCATATAGAGTAGTTCCCAAGTTAACTTGATCCTGAGACAAATTACTTCCCAACTAAAAGTCCTCTGTTTACTTTGTAAGAGTAGGCCAACTTTGGAACTCAAGAAACATAGTAGAGGGACTGGAAATGGACATTAAGGAAACATTATATTATTGAGAATTATGGAACTTTTTACATAACATTAAGGTGGTCTCATATTTTGTGTACATTTCATAAGCAAACCGGAAGTCTTTTATAGCTTAAAGAAACAATTTGAAAATACCCATGACCAAGTCACATGATCCTATCTGGAAAATGTTCTTTATAGTCTGACTTTTATTTTGTTCTCTGTATATCCATCTCCTTTTAAGATAGGTCAGTATCCTGGTAATGTCCTAAATGATGAAATGGTTGCCTTTACCTATGAGCAATATTTATTGGGAAAAACAGCCTAGTTAGGTTGAGGGCCAGTGCAACCACATTATGACCTGGAAGACATGGGCAACCCAGAGGAGATACACTATGCACCCAAGGCATTAACCAAAGAATTGATACCTTAGGGCAGGACTAGACTAATGGAGATGAACAGACAGTATTCCGAAACATTGGTCTGTAACAACTCAGTGCTCTGCCACATCTCCTGTGTCATAAAAGATGGTAGCACAAAAGGTTCACTGGCTTGTTGTATCTAACAAGTACTAGCAGAGTCCCTGCACTGTCTCATCCTTGTTCAGATACCTACCTACACCCGTTAGTAGAGTATTTTCAGATTTTGATTCTCTCTAACAAGGCTAGGTCTTTGTTCATGTAAAAAAATTACAGTATGCATTGTAAATACATAGGAACTTTGACTCATTTTGTGGAATCAAGAATAGCTAAAAAAAAAAAAAACTAATTATGGGCCCTCCCTGGTGGCACAGCGGGTTAAAGCACAGCACTGAGAAGCTAAAGCCACTGCCACATGAGCTCAATTCCCACCTGCCCCGGGGGGGGAGACCACATGGCATGGCAGACCTCTCCTGACCCGCCCGCTGCTCCCCTCAGCAGTGTACTTCGTCGATCTGCCTGTTCTGCTCCCCACTCTGTCTGAATCCTCTCACTTCCTGCACCCCAGTTCTGTATGCATGAATAAATAAATCTTTAAAAAAAAAAAACTCTAATTATGCTTGTAGCACTGGTATTTAGAAAGACAGGCAAGGGTCCAATGTTGCACAGACAGGAAAGTGGAGGAAAGAAACAGTTTTGTCTTTAAGTCATTCTTGCCATTTACAGTTCTTAACAATCTGTTTTCTTTTATTATCTAAGTTCTTAATATTGCTTTTATGTCCCTAAATACAAATGTGATTTTATTTTCTCAAAACTACTCTTGATAATTTAAATAAAACTTTGATTGGCTTGGTTGTTTCAAAAGAATCACTGTATATTTTCTTTCCTAGATCATTGAGTACTTTAAATGGTGATTGATGTTGTAATACTGTACTTTATTTTTAACACAAAACTTGGCCAGACAGCAAAAATATTTGCCAGGAGAAACAATTTTGAAAAAGACAGATTGGCTTTTGTTGCAAGAAAGTACAGAGACTTGAATTGTAGAGACAACGTATTATTTTATTTCTAAGCATCTGTAGACTGTTGATTAGTTGGTACATAGTTTCAACATTTAAACAATATTGGGAAACTCACTTTAAAAAGTAGTATTTTATTCAAATTCTTGATTATGTTATTGCTACCAGAGATGAGATGACTCAGTCTAGTCAAACTTAATGAAAGGGAACAATAATGCCAGTGTTAAAGTAGTAGGTAGCCGTTTTTAAAGTAATTGTGCTGTGGGTATGCAACTGTGTTAGGAGTTCAGGGGAGTTAACAGGCCTTGTCTTAGAAGTGCATTATCAGGCTTTAAGAACTTATGAGAACCAGCTGCTCACCCTCATACTAGATGCTATATGAGATACTAGATAAGAGCCCTTTTTTTTTCCAAGGAGCTCATTAGAAAAGGAAATAATATGCTGCATACAGGCCACAGTTCTGTAGCTTAATACAGCGGCACACAGCGGCAATCACAAGCAGTGCGTGTGCAGTTCCCCATGGATCCCAGGGGCCTGCAAGGAGCTTGAGCCAAAAGCATGATTTCACTGTGAACATGTAGGAACCTGTCTTCCTCTCCCACCCTTTCTCCCTCTGCCCTCCTCCCCATTTCACCCGCCATGGGAAAGTAACAATAAAGGGAAACCCTAAGATCTCACAGATGCTATCAGACTTTAATAGTGTTGACTGCTAAAAGAATTACTAATCCTTTTAGAAATTCTTTCAACATTTTACCTGAATATAATTCAATATAGTTCTGAAAACCTATTTCTCATGCCATCCTGTGTTTTGATTGACTTCAAACTTAAGACATTAGTCTTCTGTGAAGCAGATAGGGCGTTATCTGCATTGATCAGAGTTCAGCATTTATAAGAAGCTGTCATTCATGGGAAAATACGCACCTGTGGGAACCTAGACTGCGGCTGAACTGTTAAAATTGAAATAGAAAACAAAATACTGTTTTAATAACTCGTTCAGGAGAGTGCAGAATTTCATGATAGGTAAAAGAAAATAAGTTCATAAAAAATACAAGTTTAGACTCTAGCACTAGGAATTTCTTTTGGTGTGTTTGCCAGTTTATAATAGTATCTTAAAGGAGCCCATAACTGATTTTTCAAAAATGAGTTTTTAAGGCTTTAAAAGTTCTTCTATGAATTGGGATTGGAAAATTTCCTTAGACTGTTTTTTAAAGAAAATCTAGAACATATAAAATGAGTCCCAGTCAACCTACTGTAATATGAAGCATAAAAACATTTTAAAGTTACAAATATAAAAGAAGTTTATATGTTTTTCATGGAACTGCTTTTATGGTGCTGGATGGTAAGAGTTTTTATTTTAAATAAAGACATTCCGTTTTCCAGGACATGATTTATACAAGAAAACATATAATGTCCTGTTGAACTCAGTCCAGATACATTCCCAGACGCTTTGTTACTCAAACCTTTTGAGGGATTTCTTTATAGATGTTTTTGGCAGAAGTGGTGATTTTAGAGGAAATGTATAAGAAATACCAGATGCAGTTTTCTGAATTGCCTTAAATGGTTAAAAAATTATTTATGATGTTATAAACATCTGGGTATACCAGACAGTGCCATAATTTAAGTGGGGGAAAAGTCGATCTATCATTCAGGTAAATAATTATGCCTTTTTCAACTTGTTCTGGTCTTCCTAGGTACGCTTCTCTTCCCAGAAAAAATTAATCATTTTTTCATTTATTTATCATGCATCACTGTATGCTGTTTCCCAGGTGTTAAAATAGGCACTGGAGATCATAGATAGTGGACCTAGGATCTTACTTTCAGAAGGTTTGCAGCCAGGCAGGAAGGGGGAAATGACATGGAGTCACATATACACAACCACTGTTTTGAAAGAAAAGTGCAGATTGTGCTTCTCTTTGGTTTTATGGAAAGGGAGCAAAGACTGGCGAGGGTATACTAAGCTCACTTGAATGATAAATAGGTACAACTAAGTAGCAGGGAGCTGAAAGAGCATTCTAGATAGAGGGCTGAATTCACGTATGGAAAATGGTCGAAGATCTGGTGGTAGTGACGAGGATGTTGGGGCTGGGGGAGGGTTGTGAAATGCTGAGAAGTTGGAGGTGGGAGTGGGTGGCTTCATGGAGAAATTAAGCTCTTAAGTAGGGATGCTAAGCACACATCATAAGCTGGCGCCTAAATGATAACATAAAAAAGCAAACAGAACTGAGACTGGTAACTGGGCGTTCCTTATAAAGAACAGCACGTTCTCAGCTCTGTCCAAGCACTGCCAAATCTTCATGCCTTTCAAGAGATTGGAAATTGGGACTTTATGAGGAATATGCTAGTTTTTTAATGACACCTAATTTAAGTATTTTATTTTATTTTTTGCAATAGAAGAACCAGGTACAGGTCAGAGGTGTGAAGGGTAAGAGAAGATTCACCATATACGGAGTGGGGAACAGAATAGGCGGATTCACTGAAATACACTGCTGAGGGG